TGCGCAGTCTTAGTAACGAGCCCTCCGCTGTCAAGCACGTATGTAGCAGTGAGCCGGTTATCACATACGGATTGATCGCTATGGTGGATTGAAGAACGAGACGCAGGTTGCGTGATGAATAAATGCTGGAGCTCTTATGGACCATCATTCGACAAAACATCAGCCTTTAAATTTCGAATACCACTTTTAGTATTCTTTTATCGGTTGCATCATTCAACACACTGAAGGACGCATCAAATCAAGCGTGGTATTCGAAGGACCGATACAGTCACTTAAGTCAAGAGTTACTAATGGTTTTTTTCATCACGTCACACTTCTTTTTCATAATGATAATAGTAGAATTCTTTAGACTTAGACTGATAAGGTGACTTATACCCCCATTAGTATGTCACCGCTTACATACCTACACTCTCGAACCTGAGGAATGTGCATAGCGAAAGTAGCAATGATTTAATGAATTGAACTTTTGGGTAATCGTTTATCATCAGTCCCTGTCAAAGTTCACTTGTTCTGGTTAGGCCCTCTTTTCCATGCTCACATTTTCTTTTCAGATTTCTCTTGTCGGAGCCATGCTCTTAACTGTTTGATGCTTTCTTTCTTCTTCTTTCACAGATGTGACCAACTATGAACCGAATCCGGTGCGAAATGCTGCCGAGTATGTTTACCGGCTAGCCACGAAATCCACCGATCTAGGAAAGCGTGTGTCTGAAGCGATACAAACTATCGAATCCGCACTTGATCGATACACGTGAGTTTGTTTTCGAATCAGACTGCATCATGTATGAATGATGCATACCGGTGAATAGAATTTCCCATAGCACAATTCGGTTTCTTAATCATCGAAGGATCAATATTGGTTATGTGAATAAACGAGATGTGGAGACAAACTTGACATCTTCTTCTCTTAGTTAACAACATAAGGATTGACGGACAGAAAGGACCCATGAACCCTATTAGAAACTATCTCCTCATAAAATACACGGGAACTCCACAGGCTTCTGAACTAACGCCAGTGATAAATACAGTTCAATCCATTTAAATGCATTGGAATTGGTTGTGACAACCGATAAAGAACACTGGACATCTGTTTCGTCCTGTAGCTTAGGGGTAAGGGTTTTGATACGCAGCCGGGAGGTTCGCGGTTCGGGTCACGTAAAGAGCGGGAAAAATACTCAGCTAACGAGCTTGAGATAAAGCAGCCATCCAGAGTTAGTTATCGACCATCACATATATTTTTATAGCATATAAAAGTGGTTTTCCTTGTCTATAGAATTCCTATGAACAACATGATTATGAATATTTGAAACTGTTATTCTATTCAGAACACATATGGACGGTCGTTCCCGTTGTGTGTCACTCTGTTTGGGATGGCAGCAGAAATCAGTCAATTAATTGCCTTTTTGACATTAGCTTGCCGACGTCGAGTCCAGCAGTGCAGTTTGGAAGAAATCTCATCATGGTAGAAATGCGTACAAGTGTAGCTAAGTGGGGACTGAAGTACTTTTTCTCCTGATGTCGTCCATTCCTGATCTGTACTCTGATCTGTTTCCAGTTCGTAATGTATTTCTGCATCCCAATTAGCACTTCACTGTTCAGTTTCTAATCACATTACGCAGTATCAGGGCATCTTATAGTCGCTAGTACATTGCATCTGTTAATGTTAATTACCAGTGACATAGTAATTCCATAGGTTCGGTTATTTTCCTCACACATGTAATTGTTTGTTTCGATTATTTTATTCGCTGATTTACCATTCAGCCTTCTGGAGTAACCGTTCATTATATGATCGCTGATTGTTGTGACAATCGATATTTGCAAACCTCAGATTGTGATTGTTCCGGACATCAAATCGATCAATTTTTCGTCTAAAATATACCGGGACTGTTGCGCTACAAGACCATAGCTGGTGTTTTAGACACCAATGTTCGGTACAAAAGTGGAAGCTATTGATCAATCTGTAGGGCTAATTTAGGGATTGTGCTTGTTTTCTGTTTCTGTCGGACTTACACGTTGTTTCAGATGCATGCATGCATCCATGTCTGTCTGTATTTGATATTTTTTTTAACTTAACATTACCACATGGAATGTATCAATCATCATTCTGCTGGACGGAAGAAGAGCTACTTCTGCTCAGGAAGGCTGAGATCATGTGCGCAAAATTAATCAAGCATACGTTGAAGACAGTGCGAATGTATTTGTAAAAATAGGCAGGTATTTGGAACTCCGCCTGTGTTGTTAAAAGTTGAATATCATGTGTAGGTAATGGGAGATGAGCGCCGTACTATATATAGAGCGTTAGCCTGAGGGACAGCTCGGACAGACGAAGGCATTAACGCACGCAACCGGTACCCCCTTTCTCCTCTCTCTTTCCCCTTATACCCGTGTTCCAAATTGCGATATATTCGCTAGATATCCTGGTTTTCACTAAACATTAGTAATTTTACAATAATATCAAGAATTGTCACTACGGATGACAACTTTGAAAAAACAAATCCATCTGTGGTGTACGAATGAACTGTCCTTCAAAGAGAACTCAATCAGTTAGTTTCAATGGCCAGCTTTTACCGATCAAATATGCGCAGCTAGTGTTATGCAGCTGTGATAGTTTCAGTTTATCTTGGGATACCATCTCAGTGATCAAACATGCGCGGCGATGATTCTGTTCCAATCACCAACTCCCTCAAATTTAACTAGTTTGTAAACTCTTGACAACATGATCAGTGAGACATATAACAAGCGAACTTTGGAGTGTGAACAAACATTTTTTCCCCTAATTTCAGTGTGGTTTAAGAAAGCAATGAGCGAAAAGTACGAAACAGTTGTGCCATCGAGTGGGTAGAAAAGACTCAAATCTTCGATTGCACAGCACCTGAAAAAGCACTGTATCAGTCAGTTTTCCGGAAAAGGACTGCAGACAATGAAAAGCTGTCATAATCATCATCATCATCGTACAGCGAAATACAGTGAAGCGAACTTCACTGACCGCTACCAAACTCGCAAGGCATACAACGTTAGTGGTAAAATTTAAGGTGGACAGGGATTGGATTTATTTTGAGAGAGGGAGAATAAGATGAGCCACTATGGTCAACACACAGAGTACGCGCAATCGAACTCTGCATACATACCGTTTCAAGCATTCTGACCTGATAAGAAACGACAACCAGAATGCCAGTGCTGCCGGTTCGCTGCCATATCCTTTAATGTCTCCAACCAACCAGTTGTGGATTCTTTCAGACCCCAACCTGGAAGGCGAAAGACACCTACTCTACCTAATGGCTCTGTGCATTTCTTCATGCCTCGTCTCCACGTCATCTGTTGACCTCCACGTGGTTTCCTCCAGCCCGGATTAGCTACAGCAAATAAAGCGCGGCGCGGCAGACGATGACTGGACATACGCAATACGTGCCCTAGCCAGCGAAGCCTAGTAATCTGAATTCAGTATGCTATC